GTCTCGCTCAATGTTGTTCGATTTGAGGAGAACAGGGTCTCGCTCAATGTTGTTCGATTTGTTCTACGGTGAAAATGTGTACGAGTACGTATACGTTGTGTGTATGGTTGAGTTGATTGCGGATTGATTGAGAACAGGGTCTCGCTCAATGTTGTTTGATTTGCGTGATAATTCACGTTGCGTGAGATTATTTACGATGATCTATTCGAGGAGTGTAGGACTCAATCGAATAATGTTGCAATGTACGATTAACCACCCTACCGTAGCCTGTTCGAGGGTATAGTGCTCGCCCGAACAGTGTACAGTGTATGATTTAACCACCCTATCGTGGCCCATTCGAGGAGTGCAGGGTCTCGCTCGAATGGTGTTGTGAATGATTTCCGAACCACCCTGCATTGGTTATAATACGTTGCGTTACGCGGAAACTTCTAAGTCACGATTGACTTCTTCGACTCTCAACCCGAACCGTGCAAGCTTCAACGTTCGACTGACTCTTTTTTATACAAGAAATCGCTTGAACACCTTCACGTTTCCGAAAGTAACGGTCCAGAGAAACTCTATGCCTTTGTTTGTCAAAAACTGTTTAAAACGAGAGGTACCGCTGTTAGCTGGTTTATGGTCTGTACATGTCTACGGTAAGATTCGTTCGGACCGGAGGTGATAGACAATAGGGTCTCCGGTGACCTGTATTCCGAAGTAAAAACTATTGATGATGGCTTACGCGCCGAATCGCTTGGGCCCTGCAATAAATCGTTTAACCGCGGCAAAGGTTTCGGTTCGCGACCGAACACTCCTGCCTATATTAACAAACAATATTTACAACCTTAGAGTGAGGACTAAAAATCTCGTGTTCCCATTCGCTGAGTCGTCTCACCAATCAATGTTTTTACCAAATTACAAACTGTCCTGATTGGTCCTTTATGGTAAATGCCTTCACGATTCAGTTTTTGGACAACTCGTTCTAGGCTTGGTAAACCTCTGGTAAAGTGCACTCACTTTTACGAACCATGGTAACATTCAATATAACAGATTCAAGTGTTATTCAACTATCACTCAACACACAAGTGTACACGTCGTACAAGGTGGGACAGATAACGCAGCTTCCGCTGATCTGATCAGCTTTGTAATGATCCCTGAGCCACGTGAGCCCGCAATACAACTATACAACATTTGTAACATGTAGGGCGGACAACGCAACTTCCGTTTATTTGAACACAACAGTGTGAAGGTCCCTGAGCCACTATGAATTTACCAACTGATTCCACTACACACTCACAACCAAACTGATTTCATTACGAATTCACAATCAAACTGCTTCCATTACATCGAAGAAACCTATCACCTTATGGGATAATGATTTACAACCTTCGTTGACCTGGACGCACCAGTGCGAAGGTCTTTGAGTCACTGTATAAATCCTTTTTTCTAACACCAAGCCTAAACAATTCAACATACAATCTCCATCGCCGTGACAAGTTGTGGATATGCAATGGGTCTATGATTTACAACCTTCGAGAACAGTCGACGGAAAATTCATATTTACCCATCGCATGAACAGTGTTTCATGAATGAGATTAAAACATCCTCAAATCTTTGTTGATATCCGACATATTGGCATTTTTCTTGTAAAGCTAAGTGTGGCCCAAATCACTACAGTTCTATCGCCAAATATTTTGAATCATAGTAAAATTTTAATTTTTAACGGACTTCGAAAAAGGAGGAGGTTACTCAATTCGATCAGTATTTTTTTTTTTCCTATGTATGTTCGCCGATTACGCCTAGCTGGGTAGACCGATCGGAACGAAACCTTTTGCATCTGGTAGGTTCTGACTCCCCATTGGTACCATTAGAAAAAAAAATTTCATTTTTTAATTGCAAAGTATTATTATTACAAAACAACCGGCAACTTTTGAAATAAACTCTTCTCGATTTTAGTGCGCTTTTAAATATATTATTACGGACATGATTTTGAACAATTTTGTTCATATACAAATTTCGCGGAAAGCTTTAGTTTTCGAGATATTAGTGAAAAATTGTCGCAAATTTTTGAAATCAACTTTGGACGATTTTAATGTCCTTTTAATATGTTATCAGGGGCACGATTCTGAACAACTTTTTCCTTATCCGCAATTAAGGGTGCGTGGTTCTGGACAACTTTTTCCTCTTGCATAATTGACGGAAAGCTTGTTGTTAACTTTTGAAACCAACTTCGAACGATTTTAATGTCCTTCTAATACGTTATTAGTGGCATGATTCTGAACGAGTTTTTCCTTATACATAATTGATGGAAAAACTTTAGTTTTCGTGATATTAGCGAAAAACTATTGTTATTAATATTAGTGGAACGCTCCGTGCTATGCACGGGAAAGACAAGAAAGGGCAATTACAATGCACTGTACCAAAACAC